AATGGCCTGCTTCCAAGCTGTACGGATTCTATGATTCCAGTTCTACGACTGTCAAACAACATTGCGTTCTTCTAACTCTGTCTATTTTGTATTCCCCACGACTGTCACCCATTATTGGCAGCTGTGCAGTATGACTTTTGGCCAGTTCTCTGAGGTATGAGAAAGACAGAAGCTGTCGCATAATGTTCCCACCCAGGATCAAATTGGGGACCTTTCACGTGTGAGGCAAACATGATAACCAGTACACTATGGAAACTCTGTGCCTTCAGTTGTATGGGCAGTAAGCTCTAGAATTTTTGTATATCCTTTCAAGCGTCATGGGCATCACAGGCAAGCCCAGCATTTATTGTCTGGCCCCAAGAGCCCTTGAGCTGAGTGACTTGGAGACCATTCTAGAGGGCAGTTAAGAGCCAACCAATTGCTGGAGTCACATGTAGGTCAGACCAGGTAAGGAGGGCAGATTTCCTTCCCTAAAAGACATTAGTGAACCAGGTAGGTTTAAGGTGCAGCTTTCAGATTTTATTCATTGGATTTAAATTCCACCAGCTACCAGGGTGGGATTTGAACCCATGACCCCCAGAGCACTAGCCTAGGCCTCTGGATTACTCATCCCATGATGTTATCACCGTGCCATCAGCCCCACAAACCTCTCCAGCTCTCTCATGAAAGAACCTACTGAAAACCCACTTGCCCAACCTTATATCTTCTGTTTGTTTCAGCATTAATTTTTAAATCAAATTCCAATCCTGTGCAGTTACTCGGGATATTTTACTGCATTATTGTCCATTAACAAGACCACCTCTGTAACATCACCTGTCTCCGCCCGTTTTCAGCTCCTTTGCTGCTGAAACATTCATCCATGCTGCCTTTGTTCTCTCCAGTCTCAACTAATCAACTGCTCCCCTGTCTGGCCTCTCTTCTCACTCCTTGTCTTCTTTAAAGTTGAGCGCATCTGAAACTCCGACGTCTATATTCTTGAAACTCCGACGTCTATATTCTTGCTCACAGTGTATCTGCTTTCACTTTTACACTTGCTGGCCTACACTGCGACCTGATCGGACAATGCCTTTTTCCTATAATTTCTATTCTGGCTGTGGAAGCCTTCTATGTCCCTCTCTCTATTATCTGCTTCAACCCTACAATTCTCTAAATTTGGCCTCTTGCTCATCCCCAATGTTCATCACTCCACCATTGACAATTGAGCTTTCAGCGATCCAGGCCCTAAATGCTGGAATTCTTCCCAACCCCTCAAAAAAATAGGTCCACCACTCTCCCTTCAGCATTTTTAACCAACCTATTCAGAGAGGATATGACACACCTCTGGAGCAGGTGGGACTTGGATCCAGACCTCCTGGCTCAGAAGTAGGAGTACTACCATGGTGCCACAAGAGTCTTCCTTTAAAACCTCCCTCACCTGCCCTAACTGCCTCTTAGGTGGTTCAGTATCAAATTTTGTTCGATTAACATTGCAGGGAAGTGTCTGGGATATTTTACTGTAACCAGAGGTGTTATATAAATGCAAGTTACTATTATAAAAGTTCCGGTGTTGAGATTTTGATTTCAGAAGTTGAAGTCTAGATGGTCAACGTTGGGGTTTGTGTCCCCCCCCCCAATGAAATGGCTGCAGTATTTGATTGACAATAAATACAGTGAAAGGCATCCTACTGCGGCCCACTCAGTCACCCGGGGTTTGGAGCAACCTCAGCCCCTGGCTTTGCTGGTTAGTTGCGGAATTGTGTGGCTGCTGTGTGTGTGTGTGTGTCAAGCACGTCTTAAATAATTCATGAGCCGGTCCCACCAAGACGCCCAGATTTCGGGAGCTTGAAGCGAATCGGGTAGGAGGGCTGAAGGCAGTCAATGGGCCAGACAGCCCCTCCATCACTGCACCGACCTTTTAACGCGGGATAAAGCAGTGCTTTGTCCACTTCATGCAATCTGTAAGATCCCACGCACCCATACATCAAATGCAATGAATAAATCACCTTCTGAGTATTGTGCTGCCCAACTCCAACTTTAACGTTGCAGTAAATTACTAAACACCATATATCCTTCTCGCACTTTGCAACTCTTACAGTTATATGCACAAAAAAAAAACATTGACTAATATATTGCATATATTAAAAGTCAACATACGAGAGTGGCTTTTCATTCTGAACGCCAGAAACCTTGCAACGTGTGCCAGAAAGAGTTAAGGATACTGTACAAAATGAGTTGGACGTGCCCAGCAGTGCAAGCATTGCCTTTTTTGGATAGTCGCAAAGAGATACATTTTTTGAATTCAGAAGAAAGTTGACATTGAGACAAATAAGAGTTGTTGACAAATATTCCAAACATTCATTTGGCTCTGCAGAGGTGTCTCCTGTAAATATTATACACTTCTGGCTTTAAATATTCTCCCTAGTAATACAATAAACAACGGTTGGTCAATCTGCAGTTTTCCTTTTGCCTGAATCTACAGCAGGAGACACCGGCGCGGATAACAGACGCTGGAAAGTCAGTGTATTTGCAACTCACCAGCTCTGTGCGTCCGGGCTCGTCTGCTTGTGTAAGGCCACGGAAAATCCAAACAAACTGCCTTTTTCTCCCTCCTTCGTGATCGTGTTGGTTGTCTCCAGATTAAAAGCCGAGCTCTGGGTTGCCAAGAGCAGACAACACACGCACAGGAGAGGTGACATTTCTGAAAGCATGCCTCTGGTGCCGCAGAAGCGGTTTCCCAGCCTGACAGAGAGGAACTGACTGAAGCTCTGTGCGACCTCGTGTTTACAGGAGGCGAAATGCACCGCTACCACTTTATTGAACACTGCAAGTGTTAGTGAAACACTCCCTCTTCTCTCTCTCTCTCGCAAACACACAAGTCTCTCCCAGAAGTCAGCCTTCCAGTAACCCTTTCAAACCTCACTACATTATTTTAGACTTGAAAGCCCACGAACAGACATGCTTACCAAATTAACACCCACTATTACGCAACGTAATTATAAACTATTAGGACACGAATCCCTATTTATAACACACTGAACTCTAGAAAATGGAAATGCCTTAAGCTACTGCTGCTGTTGTGGATGATGCACAGCGTACGTAATAGAACAGCATGAATTACTTGTATTTATTGACAGTTTAAAAATAAATAGTTTCCTACACAGTTTTTTAAGTGTTGAAATTTCAGAGGGAACAGGACTTCACTCGAATCTGGACCACCCAGTGCGGAATCAATGATATAGCGAAGTTCGCCTGTTTGAAAAAAAAATGAATGAATGTCCTGGTGTTAATTTCAATCTGTGACCTTTGCAATAACGATGCGGTTCTTTTAAAAGGAGAGTGGACAATTGGCCTCTAATCAGTATCACTCGACAAATCCAGACCTTGGCGTCATGGTGAAGGCTCTTATACACGTGTTAAAATTCAATCGCTGCATTGTGCTTGGTGAGCTGATCTGGGTGGAGGTAGTAATTGGGAACTACGATTGTCCTCGCCACCCTTCTCCTGAATTAATAGGGTTAAAAGCAACCAGGGTTCCTGTCCCTGAACACATGTCAGTGACCTCTGCTGGAAAGTGCGTGTGTGTGGTTACGACTGGACACAGCTGTTATGCTGTCCTCACTATTGAAGGATTCAAAAAAAAACTTTAGGTAAACAGTTGAAGAGGGTCTACACTTTGTGAGGTTGTTACCAAAGAGCAAGGAGATTCAGGAGAGGAAGGGGTGGTTGAGTGAAATAGGAATGGAGTCCAGATTCCAGCAATTTAAATTTAAAGACAACATTTTGTATCAGGCTAAATATCAGAATTAGGCTGAAAAGATTGTTCAGTAATTTGTATTTTTTTAAAGACCCTTACATTTGCCTTCCTCAACCTCAGGAAGTCTCAAAGCAAACACAATTAAGGTTTTTTTGCTGTTATGTAACATAGAGCAAGGTCCCACAATCAGCAACACGACAACGACAAAAACATCTGCTCTATGGGTTCAGGGATCAATATTGGCCAAATACACCGAAGAGAACTGCCTTCCTGCTCTTATTTAAAACAGTGCTATGTAGTGCTTCTGTATAACGTCTCCAGAAAAAGGCAACACCTACAACAATGTAGAACCGGGAGAACACTACCCTGTGTCAGCCAGGTCTTTACATTTAAATCTCTGGAATGGGGTTTGAGCCCACCGTCTTCCAATTCAGAGGCAAGACTGCTGCCCATTGAAGCACAGTGAGCAATTACAGAAAGTTTTCAGGACTTCTCAATACAACTTGCAAAATATCTCATTTATCTCCTAAACTGGAAAACAACTGAAACAAGAGACCAAGTTATTCCCTAAAAAATCAACAGTTTCATTTGCCAGTGGCAGATATCGTGGCAATGATCAATGAAGAGAACATACTGAGTTGCTGATGCATGATGAAAACTACACCAAATGGTTAACAATTGTGATAGAAGATCCCTTGATGGCCTAGTTGGAAAAAGCGCACCTCCCAATAGTATGGAGATATGCTCAGTCATTGATCAATGGCGATTCAATTGGTCACAACTGGATCAAGCATGTCTGAGCTACAAGGAGGGAATCTCTGCAACTCCTGATGGTCAAGCACTTGAGAATAAGGTGTTCTCAAGAACACCATCAACATCAAGCTAGGTACCTTGTTCAAAAACTGATTGAGCCTTCGAACTCGGAAGTACAATATTTAACCCAGTACTGCATGGAGTTTGCTCTGCCACACAGTTACCCTAAGATGTAGGAGCATAAGGCCATTCAGCCCATCAAGTATGCTTCATCATTCATTGAGACCATGGCTGATCTGATAGTCCTCAACTCCACTTTCTTCCCTTTTCCTCCATAACCTTTGATTCTGATTAAAAATGTGTTTATCTCAACCTTGAATATACTTAATGATCCAGCCTTAACAGCCCTCTGTGGTAAAGAATTCCACAGATTCACTCCCAGAAGAAATTCCCCCTCATTTGCTTGAAATGTACGAGCCCTTATTCTGAGATTGTGCCTCTGGTCCTAGACTCTCCCACAAGGAGAAATGACTTTTTTTGCATCGACCCTGTCAAGTCCCCTAGGAATCTTGTACATTTCAATGTGGTTGCCTCTCATTCTTCTTAATTCCAATGAGTACAACTTACTCAACCTCACCTCATAAGCCAGATCTTCCATAGCTGGTGTCAGCCTAGTAAACATCCTCTGGATTGCCTCCCCCAATACCAGGGCATCTTTCCTTCAATGAGGATAAGGACTGCCAAATCCCTCTGTTCTGTAGCTTTCTGAGTTTTTCTCTGTTTAAATCATATACAGCAACACTCCTGTATTCTTCCTGCCAAAGTGCATAACCTCACATTTTCCCACATTTATTCCATCTGCCAAGCTTTTGCCACTCACTTAACCTGTCTATATCCCTCTGCAGACTCTTTCTGTCATGCTCACTACTTGCCTTCCCACCTTTGTTTGTGACAGTTGTATTTGTTAAATACCATGCTCAGCTTTTGTAATATTCCTTTTCTGTAGTTGTTTCAGCATTAATCCTCTGGCCTCTAACCTTCCAAGGACAATAGGGTGAAAACTCTAACAATTTAGTAATGTGAGAAGAGCGTATGTGTGGCACAGTCATTTGTAGTAAAAATATCTGTTTGAGACTCATGCAGATCTTGGACATTTCGGGGAAATTAATATATTAACACATTTGAAGCAGTTTGTGACTGGGAGGAGACAATAGCTAGTCATTTTACAAAATTCCTCAATGAATTGCTGATTGGAGAGGCAAAACCAATGTCACGAATCTCAGAAAATCTTATTTTTAAATACTACATCTGTCAAGATTTATTTTCCGAATGGCATCGCCAGAGTAACAGTGTGGCAATAATGTCCAGACATCTCCGTCCTCGTTGAAATCGGTAGGTCACCTGTGGCTTGCTGTCTTGCATTTGATTAATCCAAAAGATGTCCTTATTCAGCCAGTTCATAATACTTGTCAATTTTTCATTAAATAATCACTCAATACACTATTTTGGTATGATTTCATACATTTGTCAACACCACATACTAGATCCACAACCAGTCAATTATTTTGTTTTTTGATGGGAATCATGGAGGTAGAAACGTTTGCCTAAACAGCAGTAAATCTCGCTGCTCGCCTGGCATGCAGCGTGAATCCACAACCTTCTCATTCATCTTCAGATTCAGAGGAAAAAATACCACCAATGGAAACAGGCTTACAGCGTACACAAGGACATAGGCAGATTGTGACATTTCAGGGGAAGTCCTCAGTTTAATGTTCTAAAAAATGGCCTTTGTGTAACCTTGTATCACAAAGGCATTGAACTGTGGAATGATCCTTCTTCAGACATCCTTCTCAAATGCAAATTTGTTCTATTAGTCTTTCCATTATAAGCTTTCGCGAGATGCAACTTTTTCTTGATTGGTGTGCAGATTTATTAAAATTCTGTTCAAATCTCTAATAGCTGCAATGACTGAAAGCAATTAAATTGCAGAGTAATATTTCTAGAAGAATGAGAAATCCAATCAAGTTTCTGAAAAGTTTCACTGTGATAAAGGCAAAAATAATTCCAGATACTTCATAAAGCATCAAGTGTAAGAAATAACGTTTTGTTTGTTTGAGTGGCATTGTACTCAGACTCTGAAAAAAGTTTGGGTTTGGACTCAGTTTTTCACTAAAGCTCTGATTCCACCAGGTGAAGACCCCATAGTGTGAGTGTGTGCAGTATTCTTAAGTATCACAGGATGTATCTACAATGGTTTGGATGTTTCCCTTTCGCCTCTGACTGTACGCATCCATTTGCTTGTTTTTACAAATGAATTGAAGAAAGTTCAAGGACAAATAACAATGGCTTTTCTCACACCAGGGGAAGACCACTGGGAATGCTCTTTTGTTTTTTTTAACATTATGCCAGGAGGGAGAAGTTGAGAAATTGGGTGATGGGGGAAGCGGCAGAGTTGAAAAGGAAGGTGTAATGGTGTGTGCAAAGAAAGATTAAAGAATAGTTGGGCTCAGCTGACAAGGGAAGTTGTAGCCAGGGTAGAGATAAGTCAATTTCAAGTACAAGGTAAGCACTTTATAAAAACTGAAAGCATGACTATCCATTGCTAGGAAACGGGCTGAAAATTTGAGAACGCGGGAGAGAAGAGATGGGTGGGTTGGGGAGTGGTGGGGGAGGGTAAGCAAAATAGAGTTAGAGAGGAGGAAGATCAAAGATGAACTTATTAATTCTGATTTTTCTTTCAAGTCCTGATCTCAATGTGTGTTGTTTTTTAATTCTCACTGTTAATGCTTTGGCACAGTTTTTTAAAAAAAGTTTTGCTTTCCACTGTTGTTGTATTCCTGCTTTGGGTGTTTATGTTGCTTTAGTCATTGCCGTCCTTTGATTTTGGTGCCTTGTGACAGACCCACCTTCACATATTTGCCAAAACAAACACAAACCTCAACAACACAGACAGAAATGGACATTCATACAAAAAAAGCAGAGTGATTGCTACAATATGACCTGGATTTATGAAGGGCAAGTATGCCTAACTCGATCTAGAATATTTTAGCTTGATAGTATCACTAGCATGATGGACAGACGAGTGTGAATTAATTCATTCATGGGATATGTACGTTGCTGGGTATTTATTACCCATCCCTAATTACCCAGAGGGTAGTTGAGAGTCATCGAATTGCTGTGGGTCTGGAGTCACATGTAGGCCAGACCAAGTAAAAATGGCAGATTTCCTTCCCCAGAGGACAAATGGCTGTTGTCTATATGGACTTCTGAAAGGTATTGGACAAGGC